CAGTACAAAAACCAAACCAACCATGTTTGGCTTACCATCCTGAGCCACAGTTTCCTTGTTGGATTATTGTAAAGGATTAAATGAGATAAACCATTAAAGTTCAGTAGTTGGCACATAATTAGTACTCAGGGAAAGTTAACTATTATTATTTCATAGTGTTAAGCTTCTGTTTCAACTTAGTTTAAGGTTTGTGATTTTGGGCCAATAACAGTGATGCTTCTGTCTGTAGGAGATGTTTCATACAGTTTTGCTTAGAAGTTAAAGGATACTGCTAGGTCCCAGATGTCTGTGCTACAGTCTAGTTAAAGGCAAATCATGGTGTGGGTGTGGGGTCAGTTCTGAGTTTGGCCTGGTGAGAATTCAAGACCCTTCTTTACTTAACCTTAGGTGGTGCTTAGTTAGGAATTGTACAGTCCCAGTTTTACCCTGTTGCATTCCCAGGATTAGACCAGAGGTGAGTTCTGCAAATGCTGCCAGCCCTTTCCTGCATGGCCAACAACCAGAGCAAACCCTTCATCCCCATCCTTGCTCCACAGTGTCACCAAGTCCCTGGCTTTGTGTTGAGACTTGTCTGTTACTTCTGTTCCTGGAGTTGAGGAGGTCCCTGAGCAGGATTGAAATCCTTTCCCTTTGCCACCCATGTCCACTCACCCAGCAGGACTCTGCAGGGCAAATGGAAGCCTAGGAGCCAATCTTAACTTCCTGTTGGATACATTTCTCAAAGCATGGCACCCACAAAACTGATCAGAATTCCCTGGGAAACTTCTGAAAAATGTGTGTTTCTTTCTGGTCCCGGAAAGACTGAATCAGAATCTGGAGGGGGCAGGGCAGGTGCTGGAGGTGTCTCTCAGTGGTAGAGTATTTGCCTAGCATTTGCCTAGCATGTGGGAGGCCCTGAGATCAATCCCCAGCACTGAGGAGAAAAAGAAAACAAATAGAATCTAGAGTTGGGGTGAGACCAGAAAACATGCATCCCTAACTCACTGCAGGGGATGTTTAGTAGAGGAAGTGAGTGGGTGGACCGGAGGATGGTCCATAAGTGGAAGCTTAGGTAGAGGATCCTAGAATGAGGACAGATGCCATGTTTATTGTTGGCCACTTTTTTCTTCCTGCCTCATACTCTCTTCTCAGCAGCTTTCTGGGCAAAGGCTGCTAAGGATGGCTTCCTGGCATCCTTACCTACCCCAGTGGGCAGATTCATCTCATCTGGGGCTCTCTCTCCATCCAGCCACCAGTCCCACTGCAGAGGGCTTGCCAGAGTCCTGACCGCCTGGAGGGACAAAAGGGAGGAGGTCAGGCAGAGTCTGGGGACATAGCTGCAGCAGCCCAGGGCTCTGTTTCCTCCCCCAGCCCAGGCCTCTAGGACAGAGGAAGCCCAGGCAGGAAGGCCAGAGCTGCCACCAGCCAGAACCATGAAGCCCCCTACCCCAGACATCCCACTTTCAGAGCCTCAGTGTCTTAAGTCTTCATTTGGCACTATTTTTAGACCATGGACCTTCTGCAGCCTAGGTGGCCATATGCCCAGCCATACAGCCTCATCATGTCAGGCTAAAGGGCATTCTTCCTCCCTCATGTTAGCTGTGCTAACTTCAGAGCCAGTCCCTAGACACATTCCTGAACATTCTTTGCCATTCAGAAAGTCCTTGTTGCTGTCTGACCAGTGTCAGCCCATACCTCCTGGTCTGAAACTTTGAGAAGTGAAGAGTAGGGAGGCTTCTAAAGCACTAGTTTGCTTGGGCTCTGAGTTGGGGACTTTTATAGATCAGAATTACTACCCTTAACATTCTCCATCAAACTTCTGGAAAAGTCCAACCCCAGCCAGTCATGGAAGGTCAAATATTTAATGTCTAAATGTGTTTCACTTCCCCTCCCACATCTCTGGCCCTCCCCCACCCTTTCCCAGGACAAGGGACAAGAATTGGGCTAGGGAATGGCTCTCTTTTACTCTGCTGAGGGGGCAGAGAAGCTCCTTTATGCCTGGCATGACTCCACACTGTCCAAGCTATGGCTGGTGGTTCAAGGGCTCAGACATGTGCTACCACAATTATATCAGAAAACAGTGGAATGAGCACTAGACTGGGAGTCTGGACACCTGGGATGAACTGCTACTGCCACTGAGTCTTGACTGGACCTGGACAAGCCTCCTTCCCTTTCTTTTTAAAGATTTTTTTTTAAGTTATACATGGACATAATATCTTTATTTTGTTTATTTATTTTTATGTGGTGCTGAGGATAGAACACAGTGCCTCACCCACAGTGCTCGAGGCAAGCACTCTGCCACTGAGCCCCAGCCCCAACCTGCCTCTTTCCCTTTCTGAGCCTCAGTCCCTTCTTCTCTAAAACCAGGAGTTGGATTTTATGATTTCCAAGGTGTCCTCCCAGGATTCTGTCATGTTTGTATCTCAGCCCCTAGACCCTGCAGCTACTCCAGCCTGCTATGACAATATGCCCTTAATTCCCTGCTATGCGTGACTCTGCTTGTTCTATCCAGACCTCAATCTAAACAATCTTGATTCCTGTTCCTGGCTCAGCAGGACCCTGAATGGCAGGAAGTGAAGACAGGAGCCTGTTTATGTTTGAGGCAGCCACAGTGGGGGTGGGGCAGGGGGTGGCACTGGGAAAGGGATGGGCAGGGGTGGAGGCTGGGAGGGGTGGGCAAGAGGCAGTGGAAAGAAGGGGGGCCACTGAGGAGATGCTCTATTCTCCCCATCTCAAAGCCCTGTGCAGCCTCCCAGCCTGCCTCCAGTCTGAGCTCAGGGGCAGGGAAGCAGAGCTGGGTTCCCTCAAGCTCACAGATCACTTCAATATGGCTTTCCACCCTTCACCTCTCACAGGATGGTTTCCATGGGGAAGTGAACCAGGACTTCCCTTGCAGGCCCCGCCTCAAAGCCAGACGTTGTGGGGAGGTGGCCTCCCTGCCTCCCCCCAAAAAACTTCCCAGTGATTTCCTCCTGCTAGGAAGGAGCTACAGTCAGCGGCTGTCACGATTTCTGCAGATCTTACCTCCTCTCTTACTCTCTCCAGGGACCATGACCTTGGGCCCCCCCAGAAGGGGCTTTCTGATGCTGCTGATGGCTTTAGACCTAACCCAGGGTGAGTATGAGGGGGCAATTGGGAACAGGAGCCTGGATGGAGAAAGGGCTATCTGGTCTCTGCTCAGCCCAAATCTTGCAGTGGCCGAATCTGAAGAACTGGAGGGAAGGAAGGTGGGAGCTTGACTGGAGGGGGGGGTGGGGTCAAAGAGGCTCCATTAGATTAAGCTCCTTGCTGCCCCAACCTTCCTTTGCTGTCCTCTTGCCACAAACCTGCAGGTTGGGGGCTCTGTCAGACTCCAGGGTGGGAACCTCCATCTAGGGTGGAAGGTGGGGTATCGGTAGGGAGAGGCTGGAGCTGGACCAGGAGGCTTGACAATCACATAGCAGACAGAAGTCTGCTTCTCACAGTCTCATCTGTCCTTGATTAGGGTGAGGCTGTGAGTGAGGGATGATCAGAGGATGGGAGTAAGGAGCTAAGGCCTCAAGGGATTTGTTTGGGGGATTAGAAGGGAGAGGAATGGAACAGAAATGGGTTTTGAGTTCACCTTGGGAGAGCTCTGCCCAGAGTGGCTGAACTTCCTGTGTCTCCCAGGTGACCCCGTGAAGCCCTCTCGGGGCCCGCTGGTAACCTGCACATGCAAGAACCCACACTGCAGTGGGCCTACCTGCGAGGGGGCCTGGTGCACAGTAGTGCTGGTCCGTGAGCAGGGCAGGCACCCCCAGGAACATCGAGGCTGTGGGAACCTGCACCAGGAGCTCTGCAGGGGACGCCCCACTGACTTTGTCAATCATTACTGCTGCTTCAGCCCCTTCTGTAACCGCAATGTGTCCCTGGTGCTGAATGGTATGTCCAGTGGCCTCAGCAACCCCTCTTCACCTTCTCAGACCCCCGCTTCCTCTCATGCTGTGGCCCATAAAGGGTCAGGGAGCAGGATGCTGGGATTTGACTGGCAGAGTGACCTGACCCAAGGTGGGGAACTGGACTGGTGGAAGTTGGAACTCAATGTACCCTTCCACCAGCCACTAAACCTCCTCCGGAGCAGCCTGGAATAGATGGTCAGCTTCCTCTGATCCTGGGCCCCGTGCTGGCCTTGCTGGTCCTGGTGGCCTTGGGTGCTGTGGGCCTGTGGCATATCCGGCAGAGGCAAGAGAAACAGCGGGGACTGCACAGCGACCTGGGCGAGTCCAGTCTCATCCTGAAGGCATCCGAGCAGGGAGATAGCATGTTGGGGGTATGGGCCTGGGGGAACTGGGATCCCGGGTGGAGGGTGGATTGCCAGGAGCCACGGAATTAGAAGGGGACACCTGGAGGTTAGAGCAGGCAGGGAGCTGGGCGAGTAAGGAACATGCAATGACAACAGCAGGATGCAGGCTGAGGATAGAGAAGGGGGCCATGGCTGGTGCGAGCAGCCTCTCAGTGGCTTCTTGGTATCCCCAGGACTTCCTGGACAGTGACTGTACTACCGGCAGTGGCTCTGGGCTCCCCTTTCTGGTGCAGAGGACCGTGGCACGGCAGGTTGCCCTGGTGGAGTGTGTGGGTGAGCAGTGGGTGAGCCCAGGGAAAGGGGACTGAGTGCTTCCATAAGCCTGGAGGAGTGAGAGAACTCTTGACTTCCAGAGTCACAGTTGAGGCCAGGCCTGGGTCAGAAAAGAAATTCTGCTGGACGGATTGGGCTGGAGATGGGCCAAGGCTAGGTTCTTCTGCAGGAGTGGGGTTGGAACAAGAGGTGGTTGAGGGTAGCCTGCATTTGAGTTTAGATCTCAGAGGTTTTGCAGGTGGGGTTTGCATAGCATAAGATGGGGAGGGGGCTCTGCCCAGATTTTGTGTGCCCCGTGTGTGACCCTTCCCCTCCTCTCTGGCATTGGATCAGGAAAGGGACGCTATGGTGAGGTGTGGCGAGGCTTGTGGCATGGTGAGAGCGTCGCCGTCAAGATTTTCTCCTCAAGGGATGAACAGTCCTGGTTTCGGGAGACAGAAATCTACAACACTGTGTTGCTCAGACACGACAACATCCTAGGCAAGGGGGATGGGCACTGTTCCAGGCTTGGGGCTCTCATCCCCCTACACTTGTGGCTGGAGTCCAGAGACCTTCAGAGGTTAATCTAACCCTGAAATACTTTCAGCCCCAATCTCTGATTCCAGTTCAGGCCTATGATCTAAGTCTGATCAACCTACACCCCAGCCCCAGCTTTGCCCTGACCTAGCCCATTCCCTGCCTCCCAGCCCTACCCTGACCCTGACCAGTCTCCCTCTTCCCCAGCCTCTTGTCTGAGCCATCCTGACTCTTCTGTGCACAGGCTTCATCGCCTCCGACATGACTTCCCGCAATTCAAGCACGCAGCTGTGGCTCATCACGCACTACCATGAGCACGGCTCCCTCTACGACTTTCTGCAGAGGCAAACGCTTGAGCCCCAGCTGGCCCTGAAGTTAGCTGTGTCAGCGGCCTGCGGCCTGGCGCACCTGCATGTGGAAATCTTTGGCACGCAGGGTAAACCGGCCATCGCCCACCGTGACCTCAAGAGTCGCAACGTGCTGGTCAAGAGCAACTTGCAATGCTGCATTGCCGACCTGGGTGAGCCGCCCGAACAGGGCGCGGGCCCTTCGCCGGTGGGGAGGGGGTTCGCGCGCTCTGCCTCTGCTTTGCTTGTTTTGGTGGGTGTGGACTGCCATTGGCCCTTTAAAACTTGAAGAGGTGTAGTCTCATTTCACCTCCGCAAGAGGCCCCCACGGGTTATCCTAACATTCTTTTCAAGCCCATATTCCTTCCACCACCCACTCTGGCCCCAGGAGTTATGGAAAAAAGGGACAGGACACCAGGAACCAGGATTCTCTTCCTAGTTTCCCTGACTACATGGCTCCCCAGCACCGAACTTAAGGTGAAATGGGCATAATAAAGCCTGCTTTGCCTATTCACACTTGATAGGTTTTTGGGAACCTTGAGAGCGCTATGGAAGAAAAGGGTAGCCCGGCATGGTGGCTCACGCCTGTAATCCCAGCGGCTAAGGAGGCTGAGGCAGGAGGATCGTGACTTCAAAGCCAGCCTCAGCAACAGCAAGTTGCTAAGCAACTCAGTGAGACCCTGTCTCTAAAAGAAATACAAAAAAAGGGTGGGGGGGGGCTGAGGATGTAATTCAGTGTTTAAGTACTCCTGGGGTTCAATCCTCAGTACAAAAAAAAAAAAGTGTGTGGGGGTGTAGCTGGAAACTTTTCCTTTTAGTCACTGTCTCTGTCTTCTAGCCCATCTCTGTGCAGGTCTCCCTTTGCTTAACCCTCACTGTTTCTTCCCATCCCCACCCGACCTGGACCCCAGCCTCTGCTGGCAGCCCTATGTGTAGGGCAGCATGAATGGCAGGAGTAACAGGCTTTGCACCCACAGGCCTGGCTGTGATGCATTCCCAGGGCAGCGACTACCTGGACATCGGCAATAACCCAAGAGTGGGCACTAAGCGGTACATGGCACCCGAGGTGCTGGATGAGCAGATCCGTACTGACTGCTTCGAGTCCTACAAGTGGACTGACATCTGGGCCTTTGGTCTAGTGCTGTGGGAAATTGCTCGACGAACCATTGTCAATGGTGGGTGAGGGCTCACTACACACAAGGGTGGGAAAGGCTGGTGGAGATGGGGGCTTTTTCTGCCATGGCTGGTGCCCATGACCTGAGGGGCTTGTGGTAGACCTGGCATCCCTTCACTGATACTCACCAATGATTCATCTGAGGGACCTTTTAAGTTTCATCTGAGTCTGTGAACCTGGCTATGAAAGCCTGGGCTAGGGATAATAACAGAAATATTAATAGCAGCTAACATTTATTGAGCTTAAAAATGTGCTATATCCTCTACATGTATCAGCTTATTTAAATGTCCTGCATTGGCAGGGAGGTTGTATTGCTTAGTGATTAAGGCATAAGCTTAAAATCAAATTGGCTGAGTTTAGTTCCAGATTTTGCCATGATTCTGAACTGGTTACTTAGCTTCTCTGTGCCTCAGTTTCCTCATTATGAAATAAGAATAAAAATAGCTTCTTAACCATTGAGATAATCCAAGGGAAGTATTGAGAACAATCTTTGAAGCTAAACATTAGTGGCTATCATTGTTATGATAGGATAAGTGCCTAATATAGTATTACCCCCACTTCATATACGAGAAGACTGAGGCACAGAAGTGTAGCCAACCAGACAGCATCAGGATCTAAAACCAGGCAATCTGATTCTTGAGCCAGTGTTCTTTATTATTGGGACACTTAAACCTCTCTGGTTCTTGATTTCCTTAGCCACAAGAATGCAGGCCATCATAGTGTCTGCATTTACAATGGCATCATTAGTACTGTGGCTTGCCAAAGGGGACTCAGATTAGTCAAGCTGGGAGCAGGTAGAGGCACCTGCCTTCTGCGGCTCTGTGGTGGCTGCCCTCTCAGCCCTGGGGTAGATGGACGATGAATGGTCATCTGGATTGGATGAATAGTCAGCTTTTGCAGAGGTTGCCAATGGCCAGGGATGCCAGGAGCCCTGACAGGTTGGGGACAATCTTCAGGACATGACTGGAGTTCTGCTCCCTAGGACAGGAATGTTCTTATTTCCTGAGCATCTGCCAGGAGCCAGACCCTTGCCAGACTTCATCTGCCCTCAAAGATCATATTGACAGCAGGGAGTATCCCTTTGGGAGACTCTCAAGAGGCTGAGATTCCTGGGCTCGAGCTGCCAGAGTGGGCTGTAAGAGGCTGGAGTTGAAAGAAGGGGGGCACTGGGACACAGCCAAGGCCTCCTGGACCAGGCTGCCGGCAGGAAAGGAAGGGCCAGGAGGAGGCAGCCTGTGGGCTGCTGAAGCGGAGGGGAAGCTCTGTCACCCCACACAGATTCCCAGCGCATTATAAACACTGTAATCTGGTGTCAGCCCCGGCACTGATTAAAGGCTCATTAGACACGCTTAGGCCTCTGCGCGACACTGATTAGGGGCAAGCGGCACAGGGGCGGCCTGGAAACCTGCCACAGGGAAAGCAGCTGGTGAAGGCTTCACTGAGGTGGTGGCCTGTGTGGCTGTGGCCCCAGCCTGGGGACCTGGGAGCAGGATGGGGCTGCCTGCAATTTCACAGACACTGCTTTTAGAAAGCTCCCAGGGTGCGCTTGGGATAATATGGGGCAGAGTGGGGGCATTGCTAGCTATGGGGATCAGTGGAGGCCTGTGCCTTTCCTGATGGAGGATAGATGTTATTTGGACCAAGATAAAAATAATTTTCCCTTAGGAGAGGTGTTTTCTGCCCTTTCTTGTCCTTGTTGCCATCCTCATCCAGTGATCAACCTGCTATCTCCTTTAAGTGGAGCATGGGGCTCAGGAGCCTGGGGTTTGAGGTTAGATATTTGGACTTAAGTCCTAGCTCTGTCACTTACAACCCGTTGATCTTAGACAAGTTCTTAAACTCTCTGGACTTCATTTCTTGGCTTATAAGGTGGAGCTAATAGTACCCCTTAGGGCTACTGTGAGGATTTGAGACAGAGCACCTGGGACAGTAGCTGGCACATAATAAGTGCTCAGTAAACCCTAGGTGTTATTATTATGGGGCATCAGAGTTAGTCAGGGCCAGGGAAGGAAAAAGAGGAATAACTGAAACAAGATGTAGCCTAGGAATCCAGCAAGATGAGCTTCAGTCTTGACTGCCATTACTAGCTGTGTAACCTGGGGCTCAACTTTTCTGAACATTGGTTTCTTCATTTGTAACATGGGGGCATTAATAGTACCAACCTCACAGGACTGTCCTAAGAATTGACAGGATAATTCATATGAAATGTTTAGAGTACAATGTTTGACAAATGAGAAGTTCAAAACTAAGGCAGTAATTATTATTAATTATAAATATATTTATATTATAGTATCCCCCTCAGGGTGACATGACCAGGCAATTAGTTTCCAAGCCCCTAGGACAAAAGCTGAGAAAAGCTGTCCTCTGGGTGCTATTTGGCCTCCTTGAGGTCTCAAGTGATGGCCCAATCCCTCTTCAATCTCCAGGCATTGTGGAGGACTACAGGCCACCCTTCTATGATGTGGTGCCCAATGACCCAAGCTTTGAGGACATGAAGAAGGTGGTGTGTGTTGACCAGCAAACCCCCACCATCCCCAACCGGCTGGCTGCAGACCCGGTGAGGACTCTGCTGGGGCTGGGATGGCATGAGGTGGGGCTCACAGCTGGGATTTCTGGGCTCAGGAACTTGTGTTTGAGGCCTCTGCTCTTTGGGTAGTTTCTAGCTGTCTTGGGTACCCCCTCCACATCCTGGGCCTGTGGGCCCCCATCCTCCTAGAGCCCTTTGGTTAACCTAAGATTCTGAGAGCCTTCACTTTGCCTGTGAAAAGTCAGGGGATCTCTGCTATGACATTTTTGTCATTTGTCTTTGTTCTTTTTCTCAAAACATTTTACATACTCATACAAAGTCATGTACACTTTGTATATAAACACATATCGGCATGTATATGCTTCCAAACACACACTCTTAAACACATACACATCTCTGCCATGAGGACAAAGAGCATGCCTCTTTTGCTCTCTTTATACCCTATTACCTATACCAGTGCCTGGCATGCAATAAAGGCCTAACAAATATTTGCTGAAAGAATTAATAAATGTACACATGTATTTGCACACATAGGCACACAAATTCCTATACAACATGCATAGCCATAAAAAACCACGTGGATGCATTCCTGCAAATATACTCACTGTCAGGAACCAGAGGAGTGGGGCTGACCTTGAGCTTCCCGGGATTTGTTCCTCCCTGGACTTAGGCGTTTTGGGGGCAGTACCCCGCCCAGACTTCCACTGTCCAGCCGTGGTTGGTGGAGGGGCTGGGAGTCACTGCCACGCCCTGGGCATTGGGCTGCAGGGGGGTGATGTGGGAGCCCCGAGGCTTTCAGAGCTGCCTTCCCTGTAGGTCCTGGTAGAGGTGGGGCTGGGGTGAGGTGCTCCACAGACACTGTGGGCTCCTAATGACCGGAGTGCTCTCTCTCTTTCTGTCCTGCTACCTCCTTCCCCTTTCTCATGCTCCTGTCTCTTCCATTGTCTCTCTCTTCCTGCCCCTTCTCTCCTGCTATGTCTCCCTCTTCTGAGCCATCTGCCTCATGGCCTCCTTTCCACCTTCCCTGTCTGTCCCTGCTCCCTCTCCTCCGCCTCTCTGTTGACCTCCAGGTCCTCTCGGGCCTGGCTCAGATGATGCGGGAGTGCTGGTACCCCACGCCCTCCGCCCGCCTCACCGCGCTGCGCATCAAGAAGACACTACAGAAACTCAGCCATGGTCCAGAGAAGCCCAAAGTGATTCACTAGCCCAGGGTCGCTGGACTCGCTCTGCCTGCAGTGTGGGGCGGCAGGGGATTGTGGCCCATCTGGGCAGAGGTTGTGTGTGTGTGTGTGTGTGTGTGTGTGTGTTTGTGTTTGCGTGCGTGTGTGCATGCGCTGGGGAGGGGTGCCCCCCTCGAGGGCAGCTGTGCCTTCCCAGCTTGGCCCCCAGCCCATCCAGTCAAAAATACAGCTGGGCTGAAATCTGATCCCGCGCCGTCTGGCCTGCTCAAAGTGGCCGGCTCCCTGACGCCTGGCTCTCTCCCCATCCCACCCCCCATGCCAGGAGGGTGTACCCCCTACCACTCCTAGGGCAGGGATGCAAAAGAGGACAGCCTCGCTAGGGAATCCCAGTCCCGGGCCCAGAGCCTGGGCCTATATTTCCCCTGCCCTTGATCAACCTCACTGCCCCACCAGAGCTGCCAGGGTGGCACAGGGCCCTGTCCAGCCTTCAGCAGATGCTCTACCCCGCCAGGCCTCAGCCTGTGACACAAATTCCAAATACCCAGGTTCCTCAGTTGCCCTCTATGGGTTTACATCGCAATAGCATGACACCTTGGACTTTCTGTCTCACCCACAAGGCCCCAGCTAGCTGAATGCCAGCTGTCTGGAGGAGCTGGGCTGATCCTGCCACTCCGTGTCCCCTGGCTATCCTAGCTGACTTGTTAGGGCATTAAAATTCAAGGGGTCCTGCATATGGCAGTGGAGAGGTGTCAGGTCAGATGGGTAAGGCCCAGGACTTAAGGATAATTGAGAGGATGCTGAGCTATGTGTGGCAGGGGGTGGGAAGGAAGGTTCAAGTGGGAGTCCAGAGACCCAAGTTGGGTCCTAGGTAGTTGCTCCATGTCACCAGATTGGACCTTTACTGACTTAGGACGTTTGTTTCTTCATCAATATACTGAAAGATTTGGTCCTGATGTCCTTTGAGGTTTCTTTACTCTGATTTTCTTTTAATGTCAGCCTATGCGAAAACTAAGCTCATCAATCTTTCCTGCCCCTATGCTGGCAATTTGCCTCAAGATGGGAATGTGAAAATGACTGCTTCAGAGTCTAGGAGGGTCTTAAGGGCCTCCTGGTCTAATTCTGCAAGCTCCAATTCTTGCCTTAGGCCATGCTAGTGACCATCCTTGGGTTCAGACAGCCCTGGGCCTTCTGGCTCCTAAGCCAGCCTCCCATCCACTCTGAGACTTGGTCTTCTCTGCCTCAGGGCTGAGGGACAGCTTCCTGTGTGACCTGCAAGATGCAAAAGAAATATGGCTCTAGCCAAGAAGACTCCAGCACTCAGGTTCTGCTCCATACTAGCCCAGTCCCATATCCTTGACCCAGAGGATCTTGGTGACACTAGAAAAACATACAGAAAGTTCAGCATTTGGAAATGTCAAGGTGTATGTCTGGGTGCTGAGCAGATGACCCTGGAGCCTGGGTGGGTAGATGGTGTGGAGGGAGATAGTTGGAGACTGAACTTCAGGGGATATTGTATGTGGGGTCTCAGGCTGGGGACAAGGGCAGCCCTCAGCTTGAGAAGACCTGGTCTAGCAGTCCTCAGCCCTTGGGGAAGGAAGCTCTCGCTCTCCCTAGCCTAGATGAACCACTGGGGTGTGTCTTCCTCCACTCTGTGGCAGAGGTTTCCCAGGCGGCTCTCCTAGCATTGTGCAAGGCAGGGAGAAGAACCAGGAAATGAAACTGGCTGAAAACGAAAGCAGCCGCATCCTGGAATACGAGGGCAGAGTTCGCAGCTTCTGTGGTCACTGGAACCCACTAGTGCGGGACAGGCTCCCACCTGGAAGATTTTATGTCCACTAAATTTGTTAAACTCTTCCTGAAACTCCACAATCAGAAACCAAAGACAGTAGCTCCCCAAAACTTGGAAAAACCCTAAATGGCAAAGGCCTGAGGGAGGAGGTACTGAGTGACAGGGGAGAGTGGAGGGAGGGGTCACACTGGAAAATAGTCTACAAATGCTTCTGAGTGAGGAGATGGTCCTGGTGGGAATCATACTTTTTTTTTTTTTTTTTAACCTGGAGATACTGTTTGTGGGAGCATTTAGCTTGTGCCTAGCGCATAGTAGGGCCTCAATAAACTATGATTGAACGTTGAGTGTTCCAGGCCAATGCATCTGTAGCGGTACCCTCACACAAATACAGAGGGAACCAGTGGGGACCAGGAAGGAGATGACCCCAGGCTCCACGTTCCGCACTGCCCCTGGAGAAGTAGCAGCTTCTGAAAACCCCTACTAGACCCCCACGGGGACTCCAATCTGTAGCGATTGGGAGCGGTGCGATGGTGCGCGGGCCACGTCGCCCTCTGCTGGCCGCGGGTCGCCCTCTGCTGGCCGCGGGTCTCCCTCCCCCGAGCAGAGCCGGGCGGCTGGCCTTTCCCGGCAGGTTGGAGATCTCCTTCCCCTCCGGGTGCGCCAGCCTCCTTGCGTGTGCTCAGCTGTCCTTCTGGTTTGCAGGGACTGTCCCCGAAAACCAGAACTAGCAGGGAGATCTCCGAGTCCTCAGAAGCAGCTTGATTCGCTCTCAATTCCCTGTTTTCAGTTCTCTCCGCAAATGGCAAATGGATCCCCACCTTGTATAGAATCGGTCCACACACCAGAATGAGAAACTCCCCATCCCTGGGGATCTTAAGCTCCCCACCCTGGCATCTTAAGCTCAGAAAGCATGTCACTCCCCTTTCCACGCTCCCCGGAAATTGTGAGTGCGACAGGCCACGGGGGAGGCAGATATTTAAAGAAGCTGGGAGGGGCCTAGACGGGACCGAGTGGCGCTGGGGGTTGAGGTGGGGGGCTGCCGGGTTTTGAAAACCTGTGTCTTTATATTGGACGAAAGGAAAAACACGGGAGGCGTCACTATTCCTTCTATCACGATTGTAGTCCCCCAGAGGGCCCATGCCTTCCGCCCTGGGTTCGCGGATACCCCCAACACAGTGCCTTCTCAGAGAACTCGGGCGCCCTCTTTGACCCTTGCTGGAGATATTCGCATCTTAGCATCCTGCACCCGCAGACTTCTCCCTCCCCCTGCGCCTGCCAGGTCCCAGTGGGCACCCTGATAGCCACACTGTGGTTGCAGAGCAGGGAGAAAGGCAATAGGAAAACTGCCCAGCAAAGAGTTCCGCGGACGTTGGGCGGGATGGGAAAGAACTGGCCCATTGCTTTGCAGGGTTAATAGAGTCCTTGTAATGTCACCATCCCCGAGCCAATTCCTGTGGAGCCCTAGGGAACTGCCTTGGAAGGAAGAAAATTTGCTGCCCTCTGATCTTGAGCTTTGCCCTAATTTCCTGGGGACCCTTTTCCTCCAACTCCCTACCTATCCACAAAGAGGATGAGGGGTGATGGGTGCTACGGCATGCTGAAGTGGGATGAATGTGGCCCTGAAGTGTGATCCTTGCTGCTGAGGCCCACCCTTCCATTGCTAAGGGCTCGTGGAACCCAGGTTATTTTATTTTATTTAATGTTAGCGGGGATTGAACCCAGGGGTGTTTAACCACTGAGCAACATCCCCATCCCCTTTTTATTTTTATTTTGGGGGTACCAGGGATTGAACTCAGGGGCACCTAACCACTGAGTCACATCCCCAGACCTTTTTTGTGTTTTATTTAGAGACAGGTTCTCACTGAGTTGCTTAGCACCTCACTTTTACTGAGGCTGGCTCTGAACTTACGATTCTGCCTCAGCCTCCTGAGCTGTTAGGATTACAGGTGTGAGCCACCATGCCTGGTACCCACGTTCTTAAGGACAGTTCTCTCTGCCTTCCCAGGTACTATCCACTCTCAGTCCTGCCTCCCATTAGCCTTCAAGAATATGGTGCTCTGCTTGCCCCATATCCTTCCTGGCATTAAAATTAACAACCCAAGCGATAGGAAAATCCCCCTGCCTAGAAGGCATGCCCTGGGAATGGGCTGGGGGTGGACATCCCAAGTCCAGCGTCCCAGGGCTGGAACTGATGCTAGCTATGCAATCATCACTCTGGGTGGGCGACTCTTGGAATGAGCTGCTTCCACCAGGGCCACATTCAGTTTGCTAGAAATAGAGACAGAGGGCTTCTTGACTTTGCATATGATTTGCATAATGTCATAGACACACAGTCTATTTTCAGGCAGTTTTCAGGTTCAAGTGTTGTCACTGCTGCCCTGCGGGGTGTCATGTCTGGATGAGTCTCTTCTCTGTTCTTTCTCACCCACCCACTCTTATTGACCTACATCCCCAACTGCGGGAGCAAATGATGAAGCAGGGCGAGAGTAGGGTTGTCCGGGAGACACAAGCAGGGCAAGAGACACTGGAATTTCCTTTATCATCACCATCACTAAAAGCAGGTTGCTCAAGGGCTACCGGTAAGCAGAAGATAAGAAATAGGAAGCCAGGTCGTCCATCTCCTTCCGCACCCTTCTACCAGGACAGCCAGTTCCTCTGTTCTCTATTCAGTCTTCTGCTGTTTGAAGAAAAATGTCTACATAGATAAACCTGTGCATCTCAGCTACCCACAAAACCCTGCTTCACTCAGATATCCCTTTGGGGCATTTATTTTCAGCACTTAGATTTGTTTTTTGCCTCCTAGGAAATCTGGCCCTTGGTTGGCTTCGCTTTTGAGAGACAGATATGCAAGATCAGGATCCTAGTTTTATGATCAATTTTTGTTTTCATGTTAGGACTGGAGATTGAACCCAGGGGGTCCAGCATCCTAGGCAAATGCCCTACCACTGAGCTACATCCCTGGCCCTTTTTATTTCTTATTTTGAGACAGGGTTTTGGGAAGTTTCCTAGGCTGTCCTTCAACTTGCAGTCCTCCTGTCTCAGCTGCCTGAGTAGCTGGGATTACAGGTGCTTGGCACCATGCCTGATTTGATGACCAATATTTTTAAAGCAACTGGTACACACAGAGAGGTCAATCAGTGCTACAGTCCCTTTTCTCTCTTTTGTCTAAAAGTCTGTGTTAAGCACTTGATTGTCCCAGGCTTGGGCACCAGTCTCTCAGGGCTCAGAGGCACACACATCAGAAGGGTCAGTTGGACTGACTGTCAAGAAATTTCTTGATCTGTGACTTTGGCAGGTACTTGGACTCTCCTCAGAAGGATAGAGAC